AGTGTCCAGCATCAGTTTTGACTGGAGCTGGTCTGTACAGTGCCCAACTGGTTGTTAAATATTACATTATTTGACTATAGTCCTTGGGGGTGGTGGTGTTTGTAATAATACAGAGAGGGCCGTAAGTATTAACAGTAAACCCACTGAGATATTGTTGCTTTCCACCTCTTTCATAACCTGGCAGGGTCAGGTCCTTGGACTGTGGCCAGGGAGGGCATTGGAGTGGGATAAACAGAAAACACTTTTGGTTTGTTTGACTTTTGGGGAGTCATCCTCCTGGAAGGCTGTGTCAGCCAGCCCTTTCCTGTTGCCAAATGAAAGTTTTCTGAGAACTTTCAAAACCTTTCCCAACTTTCAGAAAGTCAACCCAGAATGACCTGCAGAAGAATGTGCAGTCTCTACTGTGGATGTTAAAACATCAAGAGAGGGAACCTGTGCCCTCACTTGGTGCTGGATACACCACACGTGGGATGGCCACACAATGGAATCCTGCTCCCCAGTATAAGAGAATGGACCAGGATACAGGCTATAAAATAGATGGACCTCAAAAGCATCACGCTAAGTTAAAGAAGCCAGACAATAGGTTAATAAGTTAAAGACCTCATGATTCCATTCATATGAATGACTCCTTTTATGTGAAATGTCTAGAATAGGCAAATCTATAGCGACAGAAAGCAGATTAGTGGTTGCCTAGGGCTAGGTGTGGGAACAGTATTGACTGTAAACCAGCACAAGGGTTCTTTCTGGGGTGATGAAACTATTCTAAAATTGGATTATGGTGCTCTTTGCACAACTCTGTACATTTGCTAAAAGTCATTGATATGTACACCTAAATCAGGTGGATTTCATGGCATGTAAATTATAGCTCAATAAAGCTGTCAGAAAAAAAGGAGAGAGAGGGAACACAGACAATAGAGTATTGGCAGCTCGGGGTTAGCAAGAGCAGGAAACTGGAGAGTTGGCGGGAGTGAGAGACTGACAGTGTGGAGATGGCAGGGCAGAGAGGGCAAAAGAAACAGACTACAGAATGTTAACAGAGGGAGGGAAGGCCCACAGGAAAGAAACACGCAGGAGAAAGAATGTTCACTCATGATTTGCAGTGAGGGCAGCACAACTGTACAGTCCATACATGAACTGCTGGCGGGGGCTGGAAACCCCCGTTATGCCCATGAGCAGATGACCTCTGATCAATGCATAATGGGTTAGATGCTGGATTGGTTATTCCTGGCCAGATAACAATTACTGCCTTCTGTGAGGGTAAGACTTGAAGCCATAAGCAAATAGTATGCTTGTAATTGATTATTCTTAACTGAACTACGTAGTAAACCTGTCTACGCCTTCACCCACCTTGTGAAATCTAGTCATTCATCAAATCATCCTCCTTGTTTGCAAGTCACAATTAGAGAGCCCAAATCTGGTTCAATTCTTAACGAGAATATGCCTGAATCTGTTTTATCCATGGCCGAGCCCACTGCTGCCCTTTTGGCCACATTTCCCATGATGGAGCCTACATCCCACACCGCCCTTAGTCAGGATAGAGATAGACCAACAGGAAGGGCTGGTGATTGGTTGGGCACGGATAGAGAAGTGCCCAGTGGACAATCCCCAAATTCTGTTCTGGGACACTGGGCATGCTGGATGAGTGTGCGTGAGGGGTGGGCTGCACAAGGAATCACCCAACTTGCCCAGCCTGCTCTTGGCACTTGAGCATATCCCTCTGAGAGGCATCTTTCATTATGACCTTGATAAGCACCTATCTTGGGTTTTCATATCATATACAACTATCTTGTATTGGGACCTATTTAAGGCCTGTGGGGGATGCTAAGAGAAATCAGACAGGAGCAACGTATTCAAGTTGCTTACTGTCTAGTGGAGAGATGAAGGGTGTATATGTCAGTGCAGAATAAGGTAGAAGGAGGAAGTGTGACATGAGAGATGTGGATAAAATGCTCTGATTGCTCAGAAGAAGCAGGAATCCCGCCAGCCTGGGGAGATGGGAGGCACTTCACACAGGAGGTTTTAGAGGAAGGAAAGGACTCAAAAATCTGGATGTGGGGATGGGAGCCGTGAGGAGAGGGCATCTTCAGCAGAGGACCTGGAGTAAGGGGTGTGTCGGAGCAGGACAAGGTCCCTGTGGCTCAAGTGTGAGGATGTGGAAGGAGGTAAAGATGGTGAGAGGCACGTGTGTTTCACACGCCTTCAAATGGGTTTCTCCGAGTCTTGGCAAAGTCACAGCTGCAGTGTCCCCAGATGTCTGTGGGGAACACAGTCCATAGATGAGTTCCTGGCTTGTGTCTGTGTAACCCCGGAACACAGCTAGGCTGGGGCTCTCAAGTGGCTAACCAGAACCCTGATACTGCTGTCCCGATCTCTTTACAGCAGTTGCCAGGGGGTAGGGACCTGCTGCTCCCAGGCCGCGAGAGAACAGGCCCTCAGAGCTCCTTGGAGATGGTAAATGGAAAGAACCGTGTTCCCCGGTAGGTGGAAGCGTCGGGAAGGCAAAGCAGCCTGAAGGTCCTGCACAGCAGTGGGTAAGGGGCCCGCAGCCCACCTTCCTGATTCTCCACTGAGTCGTCATCTCCTAATCTGTCATCCAGAAGCCAAGGGGCCATGCCAGGCACTGATTTTACTGCTGAGCTGCATCACGGGTGTACCATCCCCAAGGGCCTGGGGTGCCAGAGCCAATAAATGACCTTTGTGTGCCTACTAAGCAGGGGGGAGGGGCACACATCTCTGTTTTCCCCTACATGCGCCCTTCCAGGGAAACTAGACATCTCCCCTACCTGCCTTCCTTATTATTGAGAGATCAGAGCTGCAGAGTTCTCAACCAGCCACTGGAACTCTTAGCATGGATGACATGATGCAAGCTGGGGCTGGAATGGTTTCTAAATAGAAGAGTTTCTTAAGTGCTCTGTAAGGCAACGGCAGTGGCAGCTGCTGTTTAAAAGAGTTTGATTGACAGTGGGAATTGCACATATTTTGAGTTAGGAACACTCACAACAATCAGAGAAGATTCCATCAGATGTCGAATCAGATGTAAACAGGCGATGCTGTCTACCCAGGGGGCCTGGCTGCCAGCCCTTCCGCAAATGCTCCAGACTCCAGAGGTGGGACAAAGGGTGTGGGAAGGGCAGAGGTGAAGCAGAGGCAGTCTAGGAATGGGGTCTGGGGATGGTAGGTGATGGGGTCGGGAGGGGACAGCAGAACCAATCTAGGAGTTTCTTTTTTGTGGGGGCACTGGCCAGATTCAGGCTTCTCTGCTTTGGGCTGCACTTGGTTGTGTGTCTTTACCTGAACCTTAGGTGAAGCAGAGGCTGCTCCTGGCTCTGCTCACCCTCCCCCTGCTGGAGAGGGGTGGGACTTCCTCAAGGCTCTCAGAGTCTTTCTGGCCTAACCACTCTTTTCTGCCGAGTCCCCCAAAAGTGTGGATACCAAGTCACTCTCCAGAGTCAATCAGGGTCTCAGCTCTCGAGTTCTAGAGCATGCCAGGTGGACTGCTCTGGGACTAAGAGGAAGTTCTAGCATGTACCAGGTGGAGTACTCTGGGTAGGAGGCAAAGTTCTACCATGTATAATACCAGGTGGACTGCTCTGGGTTTGAGGGAAAGCAAGGCCCATGCCACATGACCGCCAGGATTGCAAAGTCCAGGTGGTTCTAATGAACACACAGGTTACTCTGCTGCCCCTACCCCAAATTCTTAGCCCTGCGTGGGGAAAGGAAACTGAATCCCCATGGTGAGCAGAGGCTTACCCTTCCTCTCCGTGGGCAGCCTGGTCAAGGAGAAGGGAAGAGCCAGCTTTCTGGGGCTCCCCCAGCTCTCTCAGTGATCTGTGCTATTTATGAACATGGCAACTAAGTTCCCCTTAGCAGTGGAGATCTCATTCCTTGCCCCTCAATAGTTCACACCTGCTCAGCTCTTTTGGTTTCTCCAAAGAGGACACTTTGAATTGCATGAGTTGTCGTTGCTTCTCTTTTTTTCCAGCCGGTGGAGTTTAGAGTTTGTTCTTAAAACAAACTTGGCTAGAGATCTTGGTTGGAGCCTGGCTTTGCATAAAGAATGCATCCCTGGCTCTGTCTTGCTCAGCTTTACAGAAAGGCCTGCTGAAAGTGGGCCCCAGGGGATTCTGGGACGTGGCCATTTGGGCAGTGGGCCAGGTTTAAAAGGGGTGGCCTTGGAATTGGGTGTCTCCCAGACTCACCGGGCAGATCTCTGCATAGAAAGTGCTGACGCTGCTCATGCACAGCTTGAAAAATTCTGTCTCTTTCAGGCAACAGACTGTTAATGGACAGTGAATAAAATGCCTTATTTGCCACCCTGCCAGCCTTAGGGACTGACAAACCTAATTAAGTTAACTTAATGATTTTAAGTAGCTGAC